ATTACAGGAGGACAGGAGGTAGAGAAGCGTGCTCAAAAGCCAGGAAGTAGGTAAATGTCCTGAAGCACAGCAGTTGCAACTAATACTTGAAGTCAACAAGGGGAAGAATTATTTACTTTGCTGCTTTAAAGGAAGGGGAAAGGAGCAAGAATAAGGGAATTGAGTGGAAATAGTAAGCAATAAACATAAATGCTTAAATTTGTATTGATATAATATTGTCTAAGAGTACGGAAATTTCATGGGTTATATTTTACTTCCACAGGAAGTTTTGTGTTTATATTTAATTTCTAGGAACCCAAGGGCAAAGCAAAGCAATTAAAATGTTGAAGACTTAAAAATAAACTTAGTGAGCCTCAAGTAAAATACCTTTAGCTGATTAGTGGTACAATGCATCTTTAATGAGAAATAAATTAGGATTGCATTATTTCTTAGGAGGATAAGGAGAGGCATTAGATATCTGCATTGATAATAGAGGGCTTAGAAATAATCTTAACAGTATGAGCTCCTTTTCTAGAAAAAAATAGGAAACTTCTATATGGCCTAGTGCACAAATAGGAAAAACAGTAAATTTGTAAAAGTCCTTTCGCTGAAAAGCTTATTATGAGGTGAATTTTAACATAGTCCCATCACTCTTTTGATCTCTTTAGACGGATCCCTTTGATATGTATCCATGATTCTCTATTTTTGTCAAATTGTTAGTTTTCTTGAAGTCTGGTTTTAATGCAAACTAATTTATATAAGAAGTGCAGACTGTAAAATTTAGAATTAATTTTGAATGACCCACATGTAAAATACTACTACTGTATTTACCCACAGCAAACAAAATTCTGTTAAAAACAGGACTCAGAAATACACTTTTCAAAATATTTCGTCTCGGTTATCCTATTGTGGCAGTGTACCAAATGAAAGGAATAAGTAAAGTCCTTTGATTGGGAAGATTGGCAGCATTTATGTTTTTAAATCAATTGAATTTTAAATATGCATTTATTGTCTGGGTTAAATTGCTACACAGTGAAAAGGAATGCTGTTCTCTAAACAGTAATTGGTCTATTTCAGCTCTCAAATTGGGTCACAGTAACAGACAGCATTCTCCTTTCTTTCTCTCTGTTTTCCCTTGCTTCCTTGAAAAAGTGATTGAAACTCTAACCATTACTGCACTGAGACAGTGTACTCATAAAAACAATATTTTTCATCAAGGATAGATCTTCTTCCTTACCCCTGTTTTTGATGGCATCATATTGTAAAACACCTTGAAGAATGTAGAAAGGTGCAGCCTGAACAAAACGCGCTGAAATGCATGGAATAAGTACAGCAATCCCAGTTATCGCTGGAATTTACTTTCAGTAATGAACACTTCACCTACTGTATGGTAGTATGGTAAAATGAAATAAATTAGAGTGATTAATCTCACAGTATTTCACAATCATCGTGTTCCTAAACATGCTTTTTAGTCAAAAAGGAGGAGCTGGGGGGGTGCGAGAGATGACAATACTGGTCTACGAAGCTTTTGTGCTACATCAGTTATATCTCAAATTACTCTGACAATTAAGTAAATGGGGTAGAGTATCGTAGAAGGTCATAGCTGTTACCTTGTGAGTCCAACCAGGGATGCTTTGGACTGGCCTGCTTTTTTGCTGAAGTTTGTGCACACTTAAAAGGGTATGATGGGATCCGTGGAGCTGAAAGGAGCTACTCTGCCCTGGTTTGAACACAGCGAACATCAGAGCAACTGGGGAACCTACCTGTATGGTATATATAATGTATAATATTAACCAGTATTTATGTTGTTGTTAACAGTGAAAATTTCTTGATGTTGAGTTGCTGTGAGTGTCCACATTTGACAAATGCCATATAGACCAGATGGAGCCCTTTGCCAGCAGAGAACTAGTTGAGTAGCCTCCAAGAGCTCCCCGTGCAGCTAGGGAGGGTCAGGGAGAGGATGGTGCTGACTTCCAGCTGAGGAGAATAGCCAGTAGCACATAACGGGTTGCTTCCCAATTGTGTTTCAGTTCTTCCCTGTGTCTTTATGTTCTTTGGCAGGTTTTCCAGTTCACATCCCAGAATGTTACTTCATGGGATGAAAGCTCGGGCCCTCCTGGCCTGTTGACTTCTGTCTTGGCCTTACTGCCCTGAGTCTCACCCATCCTATCTTATGTTTAACAATTAGCTATCAAATAAGCACACAGGTGTAGTAGAGCTTGAAGGGAGATGCTGGAGGGAAAACAAAGTGAGGAACTTCTGAAACAGTATCTGAGTATATCTAAGATGTTTGCGTCAGCTCTTATCCTGCTCCTGATGTGGTGGAGGGCTGGATTGAGATCGGTGGGAATGGTGATTCCTTTCTGCAGCTTGGAAAAAGTGAAGGAAAAAGAGCCAAAGGGAGTGGCTATAGTAGGGAAGTCTTCTGTCCCACCGCAATTCCACTCTTATAGTGGGGAGGGAGTGTAAATTAATTGCTACAGCAATGGAGGGCAGAAGAGGCTGGGTGACTTGGATGAGCCTTCAGTGGAATTAAATTGTTGCGAGAGTAGGAATCTTGGTAAACCCAAATCAGAGAGTGCTCCTAAGTGAGGAACCCGAGGCATTATCGTCTTTAATTAGTGTCTGGATTAAAATTCTGCTATCTGGAACTACGTTTCTGCCCAACACCTGTGCATGTACTACTCCTGTTTGTATGCTTCTTTAGAGCTGTTGCTGCAAATTCTCTACACAGCTGGTGATCTGGGAAAAGGTACATTTGTGTATGGGAGAAGGAAGTGCCTTCAATCCCAAAGACATCCCAAATCAAGTAGTAGCGCTAGCATTGTTTAGGCTCCAAATCTAGAAAAGTTCAGGCTCAATGCTTATCATGTTGGTATAACCAGATCTGCGACTGCTTTTTGGCTTTAATTGTCCTTTTTGCACATAATGGCAGTTGCAGGATAGGATAATTACCTGCTGGAGTTACCTATCTCCCTATGTAGGAAAGAATCTCATTGACCAGACTGGAACACCAGCTTTTACCCAGCTGAGGTAAAGTGAGGTGCTTCCATCTTGTCCTGGGTTATGACAGGCCAAGGCATGGAATTAATAGAAGGGTAAGACTAAGTTCAGCTCAGGTTCTGTTAAAAAAGACAGGAAATTCATTGGGTTTGCACTCTGTGTCCTGTTAGCACCCTCTTGGCTTCAGTGCTGGAGGTGTGCTGGAGTAACATGGTCTTCCATGGTAATACTATCTCTGTCCCACATGCAGCAAAACACAAGTCATTGGGTTCCCAGCTGGCGTGCTCTTGGCACGATATTCAGCCAATGGCAGGTTGCCATATGTAGGACTGCTGATCCCTGATCTTCTGGGCCTTTTTATATGGAAACAGGTGGGAAGGGTTTGAATACACATAGATAACACCATTACCAGTTCCTTTAAAAGGCCACATTGTAATTTTTGACACCACTATACCATTCTGAACAATGGTCAAGAAAGATAGGGATATATTTAGACGATGGATGTTTCAATTGCTGGCTACCCAAAAGTCACATAACAACACTATAATTTTAAATAGGATGAGGCCTTAATGGGTTTCCTAGAGGAAAAAAAAAAAAAGCTGTTTATTAGTAGTATTGTACTAAACTACCTGCATTTGACAAAGTGCTAATGGAGGAAATTACTTCTAGAGAAACAAATGAAAATGTCAATTAAAAAAAAGTAATGGCTTTCAGAGTTGTAGGTTGTGTTGTTTTTTGTTTTTTTTAAGAGAAGTGCTGGGAATATTTTTCATACTGCTTGAAAAGCTTTTGGTTTGTCTCTGTTGCCTTAGTTCTGTGGGTTGTTTCTCCTCTCTCCTCCTCCCCCCCCTTCTGTATCTTTTGCATCAGAGTTGGATTTCATTTAGACTGGAGGCTGATTTAATAGGCTGGATTAATGCTTTGTTTCTCTCACATGTTTTATTTTTCCAATTTTTTTTTATAGAGCATCTTCCAATGTAACTGTGTCCAAAAGCTCAGTGCCTGCATTTATTAGCTTTGAATTGCCTAAGCTTCACATCTCTGAGTAACAAACAATTAATAAAACCCTTTTTTGTTGGGCGAATGGGATAAAAATGGGCACAAACTACTCATGAGACCCTGCTCCCTAATAAGAGGCAATAATTTATATTGCTAAAACAGCTAATCTAAAAAACTTTTCCAAAAAAAAGCCCTACAAATCTTTCATTGTTCAAGCCCCCCTTGTTGTAAGGCTGCTGTCAGCCCCGTGAAGGTGACAGCATCCATCGTCCTGGCACGCTGCCATTGGAATAAACTTAAACATGGTGGATGTGGAAGCTGCCAGGTGGGTCCTTGCTTTGGAGCTGCAGCAACAGCGTCCCAGCTTGGGCCTTACATGCCTGCCCAGAAGAGATTTCTTGTATTGGCTCTCTTTTTAGTAAATGTCTCCTGTTTGCCTAAGAAATTTGTCCCTCTGCTGGATGTTATTTTGGTAGTGGTTCATGGCAACTGGGACTGGCACGCTGGCAGCCCAGACCACCTGGCATTGCTGTGCCATACCTGCCAGTAATGTCATGTCTCTATCTTAGTGTAGAGGCAGAAGAGAAAGCAGTTCCTATAACTGTAGAATAGTCCTGAGGTGGAAATTCCCTCTTTACAATTCCCTAAAGCAGACCGGCGTTTCTACACGGTGACTGTTCATCATGAAGTAATAGGTAATGGCGGGGATTGTTTGGCAGGCAAACTTTGTGATAACTAATGTATGTGTAAATGTTTCTCTTGCTTTAAAGGATACTGCTGTGTTCAAATAGTAGTTGCAGAGAAGGTTTAATGAGAGCATTAAGGAAAACAGTTTATTCACAGCATTACCATTAGCTGAAACAATGACGTGTTACCCTGCAGTGACTTGTACAGTGACACACATAGACTGAGGAACAGTGCATTTTTAAGCAGTGAAATGTTTATGAAATGTTTAGTTTTTAATGCTTTATATATTTGCATATGTTAGACGTGTCTCTAATTATTTGTTCTCTTAGCAGAATAAGAACAGCTACTCGAAGATAATGTCTGGAAAATATGGACACTAGAAGACAAGCTGCTGTGCTGAGGTAAGAGACCAGTGGTTCCATGCTGAGCAGGGGACATTGGGGCTGCAACTGGCGATGGCGGAGGAAACTCTACTTCTGCCACTGCCCATTCTCAATATAAAATGTGATTAATTTTTAGCAAGGTCTCAAGCCTCATTTTCTGTCTGTAATATCCAGGAGTTGAATGCTGTAGTCCTATCAAAATATTGCCTCTATTACAACTTGTAAGATTAGATGCTGGAACCAAATGAACGAAAGGCAGGCAGTGTGCAAACAGGGGTCAAGGCTTAATGAACTTTTTGGAAAGATTTGGAAGAAGTGTGTTCTTAAATGTATTGCTTACACTGAAACTGGCAAACTGAGATTGATCTTGAAGACAATTTTTAGTAATTTGCCTCATGTTCATAGGTCTCCACCTCAGATTGTACTTAATTATATAGTATTTGGTTTCTTTCACAGGTTGCTTTGATGTACTAATATGAATTTTCCACATTTAGTAAGAGTCATTAGGGGTTATCTCAGCCTTTTAGCTGACCGCAAGAAACCAAAATGAATTGTGGTCACTTCATTTTTTCCTCTCTGCCCAACCCCTTGAGTCCACAGAAATGCGTGAGGATGCACTTGCTCTCTGTTTCATCAGCAGTTTGAACTTCTAGTGACATCTTGCTTTAAAGTCAGTTATATCCTGACAGAGTTACAATTACCAGCCCTGCTGGAAATACAAAAATAACATCCTCAACATCAAAAGATGTTTTCTTAAATGGTAATTAGTGTCTCCATGGGTGGACTGTTTCATAATTTAACATAATATGAATTATTTTTCTTTACATAAACAAGATGAGGAGCTGTGACCATAAGGACCTCTGCCATTTCAAATTAGTTAAGGCATCAGTATTAATTCTAAATTAGCTAATTATGCTAAGAAAAGTGATCAAATGAAATTTGTTATTTATGCTGGTAAAAAAGCACGTTCTTATTTTATTCTTGTAACTCTGCTTCATACAGTAATGTCCAGTTAAAAATCCTTCCTGTGATTGTATTGTACAATGAGGTGTTTGCAGCTGATTTATACATGATTGACTCCATGTGAATGAGAAACTGGTTGGAAGTTCTGAGTTGTCATTCAAAATAAGAAATGTTTTGAAAACAACATGTATTGCAAGGGAAAGAATAGATTTTATTTATTTTCCCACTATCTTGCATTAATTTAGGCTGCACTTGTCAAACTACAGCACTGGCAAAAGGAACAATAATTGAAATGCTGAACACCCCTCCCTATTTTGGGCTAGTGCTGCATTAAGGCATGGGCTCCAAAAGGTCAAAGTACTACAGAGGCCCTCATTCCAGCTAACGTGGTCATCAGCATAACATGATATTCTTAGAAGTCACTAAACAAAGGAAGAGTTTGGGATATAAAGAAACCTTTATTTTTTTCATTGAACTTCTGCTTTGTATTTAAGTGATGTTTTCGTGACAAAATGCAACTCTTATGTTGAAATGACAGTTGAAAAAAGTGAAAAAATAGAATTTAAAAATAACAATTAAAATTATGCTATATAAACATCTACTTTGTATATTAGTACACTGCAACACTGAAAATTAAAATTTTAGCATACAATATACCATAATTTTCTTATCTGTCAAAAGACATTGTCCCAAAGTTATCCTTCAGTCTCTCAAGCTCAATATATTTAGTTAAAACTGTAGCCTTTAATAAACAGAAATATTGAAAAAACTGTTTGAACTTCTCCATTGGGCTTTATAATATTGTGCTGGAGCAGAGAGAATATTCTGTACTCAGATCAGCTCAGGTCCCTCTGCTGAACTTCTTCAGCCTGATGATTTAAACTAACTTAAGAGATTTAAGTCAGAGAGAGACTATTCTTCCTTGTGCAGAACATAAAAAAAAAAATCTCATTCTTGAAATTGTTAATTAACTGTGATTACTAAATAGCTCCCAGCTATTTAAGACCAAATTTTAAAACTAGTCAGTAGCTTAAAAGATACCTGAGTACACAGATTTTTAAAACCAGTATCTGAACTAATGGGTGCTTAACGTCCAGTGAAACTGCCATTTGGGTACCTCGGTACCTACCTGTTTCAAAGTCATCTAGCCTTAGATTTTAGTTCCCCGATGTTCCCTTGAAAACAAGACTGTGAAAATGTTCAGCTAAGCGAAACCAGGCAGAGAATAACAACAAAATCATTTTCTTTCTTTCTGAATCAAACATTACCTACACTTAGGTTATTGTCATGGGACGGTTGTCCACATTTGGTCCTGTCCATCTGCAGGTGCAGCTGTTTCACTGGTGCATGGAAATGCAACAGAGGTAATTTTAGAATCTCATGAGTCCCACAAATCAAGCTTGAAGGAGCCTCCTAGATAAACTGTTGTGACTAAAATGTAATGAAACCAACGCTTCAGCACAGCATTTCGTGTCTCTCACCATATTTAAATATCTGTAATATCCTCTAGGGAACAATGTTGGAAGTGCTTATACATAAAACCGGATAGAATGCATTAGTTTTTCAGCCAGTATTGCTTCTGTTCTTCCCTCTTCAGGTGCTAAAGCTGCGCTAACTATTTCTAGATAACCTGTGGCATGGGTTATAATGTGTTCAACTAAATAAAACCAGGGATGCGTTAATTACATGAAGTTTTTTTATTTCTGTATTTAACAGTAAATCAGTTATGCTTGCCCCCCCAAAAAATAGGTGGATTGCAGCACATAAATTTCTTTTTAAATCATTTATTTTTAAAGACTTACTCCAGTGAAGAAACTACTTTTTAGGGTTTCCAACATTCAGTTTTGTATCATGTTGCAGTAAGGCACTCTTAAATTGCGTTTGTACAGAATATTGTCCCAATGAAATTATTCCAACTGCTGAAGCTATAAGCAAGAATATATGCTAATTGAATGGTAGTTAAATTTCAAAAGGAAAATAATTGTTCCATGTTTAGTTTCTGTCAGTGGCATCTATAGTAGCTTCAGTTATAGTCTTTTCATTATATAAAGCTAGGATGTAACAGAAACCCAGGCTGTGACTGCAAACCAGAACGTGTTTGCTCTCTTATTGCTGCTGGCTCTGAAGAGCTAAGAAAATAAAGTGTGGGAAATGGGGGAAAATACAGCCTGTAGGTAACAAGATCTGATCCCCAGGTTGCTAAAAGTCAGCGGGAGTCAGTTGATTTCAGAGTTTTTGAGATTTGTTTTTATAGAGTAAAAAAATGTGACACTTATATTGTCGAGTGTGTAAAATAAATGACTAAATCTATTGATTTTAAAATACCCTCTCAAATACTCAAGTTGAAGGTTTATCTAAATGCTGCAACTCTCACTCTTCGATGCACTTTCTCTCTAACAGGAAAGTCATATCTGGGAGCAAAGTAAAAATTCTTAGAAGAGTTCTTTTCAATGATATATTACTGTATTAATTCTGCTATTCTTCCATATTCCTCCCAGGTCTAATTTTCAAAAGAGAAACATGTCAACAACTTGTTATTTAGGAAGATACGTTGAGAGCTGTTCTGGGGCACGGTGCAGCATCAGAAACCTGTATCCTCAGCTCAGGGAAACTTTCTGAAACTGTTTCTATTTGTCTAATATAGAAAAAAAATCACATAATTTGGCATAGTCTAATTTTGCTTAGCAAGCATATCAAGCAGCTCTTTCTCTATGCCTTGACTGTCCAGTTCATCTAAACTGTAGTATTTATGAACAATCTTTTCATCTGTGACAACGACCACTCGAAGCCCATGCTTATCTTCTCCCAGCTGACATCCTATTGCTGATGAAACCACCATTTCCAGTCCTCTGTAGAATCCTCCAGCATTCCTGTGGTAATGTCCAGAAAATACAGCTTTAATGCCTGTTTAAAATAAAAAGAAAAAAAGAGAGTATGAATTTAGTCAGCAGTTGCAGTTTATGTATAAAATGAGCTTACAGTCCCAGGTACTGCTGAGGTTATACACTGAGGCTTGCACAGCTGCTGAGGTTGTAGGGAAGGTTCTATAGCGAGTACAGCTACAGGTGTCATATTTGCCTTCATTCCTTAATGGTTCATAAAATTAAAAGCAAACCATTTACCTGACCTTCCATTTTAAACAAATAATTAGTAAATAGTAAAAAAAAAAATTGTAATAGTAATAAATAATTAGTAAAAAGGTTATTCTGCTCCACAGCTCTGCTTAGGGTTACTGGACTCTGACTTCTTTATGCTTCTTACTACAAGGTGTGTTTGTCATCTTCCTACTGCTTTGGTTGGAAAGAAGGAATACTCTAGAGGAAGCTGATTAAAATTAGAAAATGTCAGTAACAGAAAATTGCCTAAAGAATGTTCAATGATGGGGAATCTACCACTTCCCTGGGGAGATTACTGCAATGGCTGGCTGTTCTTATTGGGAAAAAAAAATTAAAACATAAATGAGAGAGAATTTGTTATCTTTTCTGAAAGACATTGGGGGTGGAGGTATCACACATGGAACAGAGCCAGTTAACATCAAAGAAACCTAATAAGCAGAAGAGGTTGTGAGTTATAACAAGAGGGGAAGAAAGATGAGAGCAGCCAAAAAAGCAAAGGTTGACAACTTGCAAGAGGAGTCGGGCTCGGTAATGACATAAATTAACATTTATCTAGTATAGGGCACAAACAAGGCAGGTTTATTCTGATTTTCTTTGTATTTTTAATGACTTAAGGTTGTTCTGTTTCTTTCTTTTTTTTTTTTTTTTTAAATAAATATATTTTTAACTGTATTGGGGTTATAAAGTCACTCAATTATAAACTTGAAAGAAATACATTTGATTTGTGGCAGGAGACAACAATATGCTATGTTGAAAATTTCTGGGTAGGTTGCATTCAGGTATTTTCCAAACTTGGTCAAGAGTAGAAGAAAAGCCAAATGACAAATAGCAGGTGAAGAGGACAAACGTACTGCGTACTTATAATGTATTTTGAAATCCTTGGCTGAATCATTGTCTAACTGATCAGCCAAATGAATGTCTGAAGAAGTCCAACCTTCTCAGAGAATACAGTAATTTAAGAAAAAGTTAATTAAGTTCGTAAGTGCTATCTGATTTTGACCAACTTCTAAAGATGATCCATATGCCACTTCTGCTTTCCTGCTGTGCTCCTCAGTAGCTGTGGGATTCCTGCAGCAATTTTGAAACAATTTCAAATTAAATTAAATAGCATCATCCTCACCTCTGAACCAGTAATTTCTACTTTTTGTTTCTTCTGACTTGCAAAAATAAACACATAAATTGGTAGAAGCTGTATTCATTACTCTGAGTGGCCTTTCTGATTGTCTTTACAGGTAAAATTCATGCTACCAAATAGATTATTTTCCCTTCCCCATTTGACATGTTATAAATGTTAATCAAATGGTTTTATTACTACAAAATAATACAACCTTTTTAGTCTCATCAGTCAAAAAAGTAAAGAAAAAGTAATTTTGATGCTAAGTACTTCATGTCAATGGTTGTAAAACCATTCACAACAGAGTTGTGCACCCAGCTTCTTCCTAAGAGAGAAGCCCTGCCCCAGACAAGCATCTCCTTTCCAGGTGGTGCCAACATCCTTCCCCGTTTAGCTGTTCTCTGCACAGCTGATAGATACAGCTGAGCATCACAGTCAACAGCATTCACAGTTTGGCAAAAAATCATTCATCAGCTTTCTTGCTAATTTAAGACTGTGCAAATTTTATTTTGAATGAAAATACGGAATTAGTATAAATAGCTAATTTTACAGACAGGTTTTGGGATGGATTTTTGGCATGCTCAATCTAAGATCCTTGGATTTCAGACTATTAACAGCTTCCTGAAGCTGCATCTAATACTGTTTGGTACTGTTGTGAAACAGGAAAATTACTGGACAGGATGGTTGAAAATACTGGGAATTTTGTTGTTTATCATCAAATGCAAAACATGTAAATGAATTTTATATTTTGTAGAAGAAAGTGTTTAGATCTGGTGTTGATTTATGATACTATTTATGACAATTCAGAAATTTTCAAACACACGTAAAGGATTTAGGTGTAATTTCTCTGTTGAAATACAATAGGTTGTGTGCGCCTTAATCATAATGAGAACTTTGATGGTTCTACATAAAGCATCTGAAAATACTTTCAGTTAATACTGAGTTTTTCTGTCAACTGTGACTAGATAGCTAGCAGGTTATCAGAATAACTGACTACTTTATGAAATGGAATCTTTCTTGCTAGTTGGGAAAGAAACTGCTGTGCTATAATAGAAAAATATCTTGCTGGCACAATTCTATAGATGCTGTACCTTGCTGGATATAATTTGTGTTTATATTGAAATATGAACTGAAAAGGTCTAAATCTGTGCCTGTTCCTCAGGAGCACAGTGGAGACGAGTGAAGCTTCTCACACACAGGGACAAGCACCAGATGTTGTGGGCGGTGGGAGGTGCTCCCTGATGGCTCTCCTTCCCTCCGCACGCAGCAGCGTCCTGCTACCACCCCAGGCTAAAAGCTACCCTGAAATACACAGCACTGGGAATTACCTTTCAACCATTCTTTCTATCATTAGAGAATAATATAAGGACGCGTGGGGTTGGACACACTGATGATAATGTCAACTTCCATTATTTTTCATCTATTTCAGTAATCTGCCATTCCATGCTTAACACAAAACGTAACACACGCTTAGTCCTGTTCAGGTGATTGGCCAGAGAATGGGTGATCTGTGAGATACTATAACCTTAAATGACATCTGAAAAAAAAAACCAAAACTAGTAACAACTGATTTTGCCTTCAGACAGCAGAAATTCTGGGGAAGAGTAGAGGCAATTTAAAGGCAGAGAGCTGTGATTAGGAACACTCTAGAACTTCACAAGGAAATCCTTATTTCTCTACCCAGAAAAATCTTCCAACCTTTTTCCCGCAGTAGATTTAGACCTCTTTCACAATGATTAAATGGAAAGGAAAGTAGGTGAACCTGTCTGAAGACAGTTGACTACATCAATCCTTTGCTTTTGTAGGAGTGATTTGAAGACCGATATAAATATATAAACTAGGCTCAAAGTATAGTTAAAAATTGAACAGCCTGGAAAGCAAAATATGAATTATTTTGCTGTGTGCCTGGTAAAAGCTACATGGGCTTTCATATTTCAAAATCCAAAGATTTCTCAAATAGTAAATAACTCAAGGTGGAAAACAGAGAATGAAGTTATCTCTATGTTGAATATCGATATATGGTCATTGTCAGCCAGAACTTGTCTGTTACCCTCTTTTAGTTTATCAGTGCTAATACTCTTTGCTCAGTGTAACTTGCTCATCTATCTCGTGTATGAGTTATGCTTCTAAGTAACTCAGTGTAATGACGTTGAGAGCTTGCTCTGACTCCACAGCAGGGGCACAGCAAGACAGGTGTGTGGTTTGGTTTGGTCTGTTTTTTTTTTAATCTTGGGAGAAACGCAATCAGAATTCCTCAGAAGGTGATGGTAGAATATAAAAGCCCTGTGACATAATGGGCTCTTTGCAGAGATTCTGTACTTTCTAGATACTTTTTGAGCCCTTAAAAATCATAATATAAAGATGTTTTACAACTGATGCTACAGTCAATTTGAGAGTGAGCAGTCATTTCTCAACTCCTACTGTGTTGCAGCTTATTACAGTGACTGTCTAACGTAACATATTTAAGCAATTCATGCAGCAGAACTAAGTGTTTATGTCTCATGACATGCACATCTATCCAAACCCCGGGGCTGCGCTCCTCTCCTCCACCCCCCAGCCCTTCTGCAGCGACACACACAGTGTGCCCAGCTATTGCTGCTGACGGCGTGGCTGGGCAGTCCCTGCTCCTGCTTCCTCGTACAGAGAGCAAGACTGACCAGTGTGGGAACCTTACGTGTGATATCCTGCTCGTTAAAGTGGGACTCGCCTTGAGGCATTGTCCTTAAAAGAGCAAGCTCTGATGGGTGGCAGGAGAGGACACAGAGTAGACCAGGTTGCTTCCTGCAGCCTCTGAGTTTGGGGAGGTTGTAGGATGCACTAAGCTTGATGTTACCAGTTTGCTTTCAGCTTAGAGCTGGCTGTGATGAATCCATGTATGTGGCACTTTGCTGGCCGTCAGGCACTTAACAAATAACCAGTGGTCTCCAGCAACATTCTAGATTCGCTCACAGACACACATCTAGCATGGACCTGACTGTCTTGTCTTCCCATGCAGAGGTAAGCGGCAGCGACATGAAGGATGGAGGACTGAACAGTTGGGAACCTGATGTTTGACCTGCCTGATGACTGCACCGGCTGGACCTGTAAAACACCGTTACCAGCTTCCAGGCAGCGACTGATACTACACTAACAAGTTTTCTTCAATATTTTCCACTCTTTCTGCAGGTAAGCAAAACTACTTTACTACTTTAGTCTCTGAAAAAGTCAGGAAAAAGTAACAATTATAAAACCATAGTGTGGTGTAAACCCATGTCACACATTTAGTAAGGGAAATAAGTGCTCCCCTTTTACTGGAAGCATCCATGTTCCTAAAGCAGCATCTTCTCACCAAGAGACAAACAGAAGCCAAGACCTTGTAAACCAAACCCCCAACAGTTTTAGTGTAATTAGAAGGACAGAGGATACAAAAGTAATAATCTAACTTTAGTTATGCTGTAAGAAAAACAAAAATCTCTTCTTGTCTGAGAATTCAAGGGAGGATCTTGAGAAACCCACCCTAGACAGCAGAACAGACACCAGATAAAAAGTTTGGCCCATGAATCATGCAGTTTTTTTCTTAGGCAACTACTGCAACTTCACCATATGTCACACATTTTTCTTAGGCAACTACTGCAACTTCACCACGATTATGTTTGACGTCTGCCATCTGCCTACACTCAAGAAGGTATTTTGGTAGGGAACTGAAGTGAGTGACCTGTAAGCAGTGCAGCTATGATACCTCAGACCACACAGGATGTGATTTAAAACCTCTTTTACCTGCTGTTGGCTATGACAGGCAGGTTCTGCCTAAACAAGCTGGTGTTTATGGGTACTGTTACCCAAATTCCCCCTTTTAGCATATGTTTGTCATTCGGATCCTAATTGGGTGTTCGGTGCTGAATCGTCCCTTGTGGATGTGGCTGCTCACCATCAGCCTCTGCTAGAATTTAGTATCCATCTGCTTTAGAATCACAGACTGGTTTAGGTTGGAAGGGACCTTAAAGATCCTCTAGTTCCAACCCCATGCCATGGGCAGGGACACTGCCCACTAGACCTGGTTGCTCAAAGCCCGATCCAGCCTGGCTTTTAAATATCTCCTAGTGAATATTTTGCCCAGACTTAAGGTTTCAGGTACTCCCTATTTAGACTGCCAGTATGGATTCTTGTTATTGTTGTGTTACAATATGTTACATCTTGAACAAAGAAACAAACAGGTCACTGCTGTGTATTAGTAGAAATATAACTGATGTTGTTTTTCTTCAGTAGCGCTTTTTTGTTCACTCAACTGTATTCCACTCACTTTTGTTAGTTAGCATAAGAAGGAAATCTGAACCAGTCAATGCAATAATACTAAGATGACAAGCAGGCAATTTACTTTGCTCTTGCTTTTGATCTTAAACATAAAAAGAATCTGAGAGATGCATGCACTCAAATTTAATTTATTCATTTCAGATGTTTTTCTGAAGCAAGACTGTCAAGTTGCTAGCAGCCCCTCCCCACTCCTCCTTTCCCCCCATTTTTTTAAACTCTGTGAGAAAAGAACAGTGTCCTGGCAGGCCTCATTTTTATAGCCCACTTTAAGGTATCCTGAGGTCACTTAAGTGCATCCAGCTATACATAAAGTACAGTCCCTTCCCACTACAAAAAAACCCCAAAAAACATAGAGCAGTGATTTTTGGTTTTAATCCCTGGTTTCTGAAATAGCAGTTGGGAAAAGCTTTGATATAAAAGCTGTATGAAATACTAAAAACCTACTGTGTAAATAAATGTCCAAAGGATGGCACCTTCACAAGTATTCATTATTTCATTTTTTATGAAATACACAGTGATTTGAATTTAAATGTGACTGGAGGTTTCACAGTATCCATTAACCAAAAAAAAGCAGGATCCATTACTGCAAGACTCTAGTCATACCTAATGGATTATTCATTAAAAGAGGAAAAAAAGGGATTAAAATCAGAATAAAGTAAAAAAACTGTGCAGATAGTTAGTAAGGAAAAAAAATTGCTGGCCGTCAGGCACTTAACAAATAACCAGTGGTCTCCAGCAACATTCTAGATTCGCTCACAGACACACATCTAGCATGGACCTGACTGTCTTGTCTTCCCATGCAGAGGTAAGCGGCAGCGACATGAAGGATGGAGGACTGAACAGTTGGGAACCTGATGTTTGACCTGCCTGATGACTGCACCGGCTGGACCTGTAAAACACCGTTACCAGCTTCCAGGCAGCGACTGATACTACACTAACAAGTTTTCTTCAATATTTTCCACTCTTTCTGCAGGTAAGCAAAACTACTTTACTACTTTAGTCTCTGAAAAAGTCAGGAAAAAGTAACAATTATAAAACCATAGTGTGGTGTAAACCCATGTCACACATTTAGTAAGGGAAATAAGTGCTCCCCTTTTACTGGAAGCATCCATGTTCCTAAAGCAGCATCTTCTCACCAAGAGACAAACAGAAGCCAAGACCTTGTAAACCAAACCCCCAACAGTTTTAGTGTAATTAGAAGGACAGAGGATACAAAAGTAATAATCTAACTTTAGTTATGCTGTAAGAAAAACAAAAATCTCTTCTTGTCTGAGAATTCAAGGGAGGATCTTGAGAAACCCACCCTAGACAGCAGAACAGACACCAGATAAAAAGTTTGGCCCATGAATCATGCAGTTTTTTTCTTAGGCAACTACTGCAACTTCACCACGATTATGTTTGACGTCTGCCATCTGCCTACACTCATTTTGGTAGGGAACTGAAGTGAGTGATCTGTAAGCAGTGCAGCTATGATACCTCAGACCACACAGGATGTGATTTAAAACCTCTTTTACCTGCTGTTGGCTATGACAGGCAGGTTCTGCCTAAACAAGCTGGTGTTTATGGGTACTGTTACCCAAATTCCCCCTTTTAGCATATGTTTGTCATTCGGATCCTAATTGGGTGTTCGGTGCTGAATCGTCCCTTGTGGATGTGGCTGCTCACCATCAGCCTCTGCTAGAATTTAGTATCCATCTGCTTTAGAATCACAGACTGGTTTAGGTTGGAAGGGACCTTAAAGATCCTCTAGTTCCAACCCCATGCCATGGGCAGGGACACTGCCCACTAGACCTGGTTGCTCAAAGCCCGATCCAGCCTGGCTTTTAAATATCTCCTAGTGAACATTTTGCCCAGACTTAAGGTTTCAGGTACTCCCTATTTAGACTGCCAGTATGGATTCTTGTTATTGTTGTGTTACAATATGTTACATCTTGAACAAAGAAACAAACAGGTCACTGCTGTGTATTAGTAGAAATATAACTGATGTTGTTTTTCTTCAGTAGCGCTTTTTTGTTCACTCAACTGTATTCCACTCACTTTTGTTAGTTAGCATAAGAAGGAAATCTGAACCAGTCAATGCAATAATACTAAGATGACAAGCAGGCAATTTACTTTGCTCTTGCTTTTGATCTTAAACATAAAAAGAATCTGAGAGATGCATGCACTCAAATTTAATTTATTCATTTCAGATGTTTTTCTGAAGCAAGACTGTCAAGTTGCTAGCAGCCCCTCCCCACTCCTCCTTTCCCCCCATTTTTTTAAACTCTGTGAGAAAAGAACAGTGTCCTGGCAGGCCTCATTTTTATAGCCCACTTTAAGGTATCCTGAGGTCACTTAAGTGCATCCAGCTATACATAAAGTACAGTCCCTTCCCACTACAAAAAAACCCCAAAAAACATAGAGCAGTGATTTTTGGTTTTAATCCCTGGTTTCTGAAATAGCAGTTGGGAAAAGCTTTGATATAAAAGCTGTATGAAATACTAAAAACCTACTGTGTAAATAAATGTCCAAAGGATGGCACCTTCACAAGTATTCATTATTTCATTTTTTATGAAATACACAGTGATTTGAATTTAAATGTGACTGGAGGTTTCACAGTATCCATTAACCAAAAAAAAGCAGGATCCATTACTGCAAGACTCTAGTCATACCTAATGGATTATTCATTAAAAGAGGAAAAAAAGGGATTAAAATCAGAATAAAGTAAAAAAACTGTGCAGATAGTTAGTAAGGAAAAAAAACAACCCACAACAACAAAACCAAACCACACACACTGTCTCTGTGATCATCATGGCCTGATGTCAGACTGCACAACAATACACCAGGTATGGAGTATCTGGTAGGGAAAAAAGATCTGATCTGCCAAATCAGTTTTTTTATCAGAACAGGACTGGAAACCAGAGACTTGGGATGGGCACCATCCAGTGTTGGACACCAGGTCTTCCTCTGTCTGTTCTAAAACCGTACTTGAATCATGAAAACACCCAAAACCAATGAGCTTCATGCCTGCACACCAAAGGTGAGTTTTCAGAATCAATCTGCAAAAATGTTAGTGTCTTTGTAAAAAAAGGTTTAAATACAGGAATTGAGTCCAATTTTGTAAACCAAATAAGTCCTTCTGCCAGCATGCAATTTACCATCATTTTCTGATCAAGCCTAAAAAGTTCTTTTTAGTTCTGATCTGACGGAGCTGAATCTGAAAGACAAAACTGTTTCCAAAGACCCAATCATAACTCTTTTTCCCTGTAGAATAATGCATTCCCACTAAAGAATGAAGTACCTATTATTATGCTATAAATTCTGTGAGCCCAAAGCAGCCTATTTAGCATAAATAATTCATGACATAACAACCAACCAGAACATGGATTTTTCAGGAGTCTAGAGATGTAATACTTGCATATGTTGATAAGCCTCTTAACTCTTCATTATCTTGACGATGAAATGAGTTAATACTTTGTTTTTATGCTAATTCACACACTGCATTACGTCAGTTCAGACTGTAGGATACACAGTGGCTTTGGCAAGGCAAGAGGTAAGTGCTGCGCAGGGTCATTAGTAGCTTCTAGAATTCAGCATGCTTCCTTTGGTGCTAGCTGTATGTCCATACATAAGCAGAATCTTTAAAGCACAACTTGTTTTTTAAAATTTTTCAAACGGAATTCATATTTTAATTTGGATACCTTCTTCCAAGTCAAAACCATGATAAGAACACTTCGCTCATGGTTTCTATCGCACACGTCTCAATAGAAAATTCAAAACCACCTCTGAAGACTTTTTTCCCACCCTCCTTTATTTCCAGTGTCTGCTGTGTAAAGCCAGCTCACCAAATAATTAGTCATTGCAAGAGCTTCAGCAAGCTCTTGGTAATTTGCATCTTTCTCAGTTTAACTGCTCGGGTAAGATGGACAATTTTTACCCGCATTTCCCTTTTTGTCTTGGTTCACTCTTCAAGTGTGAACCAAAACGTCACACTGTATAAAAAAGAGCTTTTCTTACAGAGATGGTGTAATGTGTACTGTTAAACTGACTCACTGGGCTAATAAGGAAAGAGATCTAAACAACTACCTGAGATTTGCTTTGGATGCTTCATAGAAAAGATTGGTACAGAAAGGGATGACCAGGGCAGTCAGGCTCAGGAGCAACTGCACGTATCCAACCGTCACACCCTCACAGGCTGCAGTAGCTCTGGTTTAGAAGAAACTATTCTTTGTAATGATGACCATCTCAGGGAACTTCTGAGTTCCCAAATATGCCAAAGCAAAATAATATTCTGAAAGAAACAGAGTCCTATATGAAATATTCACCACCTCTTTGAGGTCTGGTGGTACTGAAAAAAAATTTGACAGAAAGCTTTAGCCTACCCCAGTGTTGTCAGCATGCTGTTTATTTCTGACAAGAATCAGATGAGAAAATAGTTCATTAGATGACAAGAAACTACATATTGAATGTCCTGCAGAAGGCAGTTTGTCTGTTAGCAGGAGAAGCTAATGTTATTTTACAGAATTGTAACAGTACAGCATATTCTTCCCACAAATTATAGTTTATCACTCAGAGAAACCCTTCTAAACAACAGTTCTGCGGCACCAGGGAAAAGGGCCAGCATGATTTTGACATAATTGCACTATAAAAGAACAAAGGCATTTAGCTGTGTCTCCTGGATAATCCCCCTGAGAGTGGTTACATCCCAGTCTGAGCTTATTTTGCAGTTGCAGTCCCATAATGCCCAAACTCTTCTCCTGTACTTGACACTCTGCCGCTGTTGTGTTCTGTAGCATAGAAAAATGCAAGGATGTGGAAGACTGGGCACGTTTTCAGCTCCATTTGGGGCAGGAAAGAAAGGGGACTGTGGTCTGCCTTCTCTAAGCGGACTGACAGACAACTGCATCTTTTTTAATCTGTCTTTTCACCAGCCTTTCTGTTCAGGGAATAGTTAAATCAGTATAAAATGTCCCTATTTTAAAAGTGAAATGCTAGCCATGTCATCTTTTTGCTTTATTAAACAGACAATAGGTATATTCCATAATATTATGCTCTGAACTGTGATGTGATTTTTAAAACTTTGTATTTTTTTCCCTTTTTCTCTGTGTTCTTGGCTTTTACTGCATAAACATTATTATTAGAAATACAATGGCTGGCCTTCTAGTCTTCTCCATTAAGGCAAGGTGGAGGGGCATTGGGGGTAATCTGACACCTGAGCCCAGTGACAGTCAGTGTGCACAGGATGCACGTGCTTTCAAAACCGCTGATTTAAAAAATAAATAAAATCAAGCGTGTTCTTTGGCAGATCACTCAGAAAGCTTATGCTGTTATGGTATTGTCATAAGCATCAAATGTCTTCCCACAGAGTGGTATTTCAATAACAATGGGAAGAAGAGACTTGCTTTTTACTGGCAAGATTTCCTCTTCCAAACTGTGGATGTTGTCATAAGTCTCCAGCTTCTGGTAGTCTGAGCTCTTACAGCAGCAGAACTCAGCAGCTTATAAGAACAGGAGAACTGTAGCGGAACACTGTACATGACAATATTAATGAGACCTGAAGTGACAGTACACACTAGCTTGCTATATGAAAGACTAGGTAACAGAGGAAAAAAAAATCTCCAACGCAACGGTAAGATTTTGTGAAATACACTGTTTTCCTAACAACTACAGAAATCTGACATTTGCTAGTTTAATTCAAGAAATACAGACTGAGCCCCAATCTCAAAGAAAATCTAGTTGCAATGATTACAGAAATCCAAATAGATTAAAATAGGATGGAAAATAATGCATTTATATTTATCTTGAAATATTAAAAATCATTTCATAAAGAAACATGCTCCTAGAAACAAATTGTTCTCACACAATCAGATGATACTGGGCTGGAATTCAGACTTGAAGTAGTTTAAATTCCAGGGGTGTCTGACTCCGGTTTCTCTAAGTACACTCACTTCCATGGCTCGCTTCCAAAAACCCCTGAATTCAGAAGCAGCTGTTTCCCAGCTCCAGTTCCTCATGTACTAACCCCATTTTGAGGCAGGTTTGCTGTGTCCAAGAAGTGACTGGCCAAGCATCACTTGGAAATCAAACTGCTCAACCCAGCGCTATGGACAGTGTAAAAATATAGGAATAAAATTACCAATACAAAAATAAACCAAAGAAAAGCAAGCAAATTTTCCAAATTAGGAGGAGAATGCCTGGAATAATCAGCATAGGCAATCAGTCGCAAGCTTTATTTAGACTGAGCCTTCAATTAAATAAATGCTTTTCTCAGCAAAAGCAGATGCGACTGTAAGAGAATGAGGAGGCTAAATTAGTGCAATATGAATGACATAATAAATATGTAATGGGTACAGTACAGACCTTGCTTCTCCTCCCATGCACTCTGTAAAGAATTTTGAGAAAAAAAAGTCTGACTGACCAATGAAATTTATCACATTCCAGATTATAACCCTTTAACTGCTGATTAATGAACTATTCATTACAGTAACTGTAGGACAGGAATCAGTGTTCACTGTATTTCATTTACAGCTTTATGGGACTCAATACAGACTACAGGTGAGGTTCAAACAAGAGAAGGCATTTCTTCTCGTAGCTGTGAAACATGAAACTCTGTCCCAGAGACTATTGTGAAAGCTGAGAGTTTTCAAAAATCAACTGTACAAATCCATAAAAGAATCGCTGAATTGCACCACATTGATAACATGAATATGATACAGTAAGTCCCCGAAAGAAAATCAGGAAGAGTACTTGGAAGACATACCACTATGCACTTCGCTGTCTTGTGCTCTTCCCAAGGGCTTGGCTCGTAGGAGAAGCAGGAAACTGGGCAAGAGGGATTGTCATTCTGGTCTAGCTACTCTGCTTTTCTGTTAGCTGGTCAAGTTTAATGATAAAATTGGGTTTAAAATAGAATTACGCTTTTCTGAAAAGCACTGCTTCATTGGCCAAACTTCTCTCTCAATCAAGGACTAAAGGAAGAGGATGTACCAGCAAAAGCTGATCCTCTATGTATTTGTTCCCAAAACTGCAGGAGCTGGAGAGGAGCAGCATTAGAGCCAAAATGGGAGCAAACAGGTGGAGAAGCAGTTCTGTAAAGAAATGAAATAGTATTGAGTGAAAAACCTGAATGCTACCAACACTCTAGTACCCTTTCAGAATGTTCATAGGCAGGAGAACAAAGAAGTAGTATCCAGGCAGAGGAAGATGCGTGTGTGTGTGTGTGTGTGTGTGTGTGTGTGTGTGTGTGTGTGTGTGTGTGTGTGTACACCCACACACATATATGTGTAGATACATATTTTTTAAAAGGCAATTTTGCTGGCAAATACAACCATTTAAGTCACAACAATAAATTGATCTTGAGCACTTCCCCTGGAGTATTGGGCACAAACTGGCTTTTCTTTCTTCCTTTCACTTGCAGCATACAGCTGTTTTTTGAAGTACTGAACAGTGTGGTGGGTTCAACAATAATACCTGTTCTCAGAACAATTTTGCACTCCAAAATGTTCTTTCAGCTTCCCCACAACAGCATGCATTAACCATAGGCATTTTTGCCATACCTTTTTCCTCCCCTGGGCAGGTGGTGTACATCATTTTGTAAAGACTTCAGTGCTACAAAGGAATGATCATATTTAGTAGTCTTTGTAAACAAACTCTCTCATGTGGAATTGAATTGATTTTCTCTCGTTGCAATGTGAGAGTGCTCACATCCCCCCATCTGCCAAGCAGGTGTTAGAGCAGCAAACAAAGCTGTGAAAGCATCAGTCACAGCACTGCTAACAACTGTTCAATGCTCGGGCAGTTTTCAGACCACGTTCTCCAAAAAACCTGAAATAATTTCCCACCAATAGAGTTCCAGTAGAAGGAACCAGCCCCACTGGTTAAGTGTCAGGGATCATCACCCTCCATTTCTTAACCTCTTCAGTCAACCTTAAATTACAACATTACAGAATTATTTTGTGTAGCCCTTTAGAAGCTCTGTGTTATCCTCCTTTCTGCAGATGAGTTGTGTGAACAAAACAGAACTGAGTAATTAGAATTTACAGCACACAGCACCATAAGCATCATAATAAAAATATTCCATTTACTGCTTGCAAACATGATCCTGCAAACTTGCATGAAAACTCTTCCTTAAATTTGCTTTGTAGACTAAAGAATTCAGAGCTTGCTGCAAGTGGTGGTCAGTGGGTCCATGTAAATGGGAGAGAAGATACTAGTTTGCCAAGTATATCTGTGTAAAAAGTATTTTATATAGGACAACACTGAATACAGTTATACAGAAAAGGATGTTAGTCTCACTTATTTTTTGCATATAATCAGAGAAACAACAGGCACAGCCAGAGGGTGATTCCAGCTCACCTAATTGGAGTACTGGTCTAAATAAGCCTTTAGAGGTGCTGTCTGTAGGTCACACTGTACTTCAGGTTAATTTTTGTGAATGCCTCGTGTGACCTTTCAGTGGAATTTTACATCCTTGCTGCTTTTTTCATTCGAAAATGCAGGTTTCTCATAGACCCAACACAAACCCCAAACAGTCCTGCTTTGCCATGTGCTTTAAGGATCAAAAGCAGTTTTTATCAACCAAAACTACAGCCCAGTGGAGAAAGCAGATTTCAAAAATTTATCTAAGAGCAAATATTACCTTATGTCATTATAGACTATACTAAATAAATGTCTTTTGTACTTACTGCTGAATTTCTGAAAAAAAAAGTCTATGTGTATCTAATACTAGATTTCATTACCGTACCTGGGGAACAATCTTAAAAAACATTGTTCTTACACAGTGACATAGAAGATACCAAATTTGGTCACTCTACCTGTACCCTGAGTGCATAATTTTAAGGTTGAAAGAGGTTGATGTAAATCAGTGAAGTTAAGGGTATTTAAATTATCTTAAATACTGTCAAAGCGATACATAAGCAAGCACTAAGATTACTCACTCGACGTATGGGCTTTGCCAAAATCAAGGTCTCAATGGCAGGAAGTAGAAAATATTACTCCCTTGTCAACTTTGATTACACAACAAAGAAAATAATGAAACATAGCATATGTTGTCTGGTAAATTTTAGAAACGACAGCTTTCAGCACTCCCTGCTTTAATTTTGTGCTCAAATATATCTCAACTGTGGATGTTCAGAAGGCTGCTTCTTCCTTTAATACTACTCTCCTGTCACAACATTTCTAAGAGGAGAATGTAGGTATCACACTCTTTTAATGAGTAAAGGTGTTAGAAGTTACAGCACCTACAGTCACAAATATAACGAAAAAACATGCCATTTAATAAACTTAGGTTGTTATTTTTCTCCGTATGTACAAATAAAGTATTTTTAACCACATCTGAAAAATGCCTTGAAGACTTTTTAATTAAAAGAAGCAGGAGACCGCAGGGAATTTCCTTCTATATTTTATATCTATTATCTAGTGATTCTCTCTTGGATGCAAAATCTCTCCCCTACTCTTCTCACTCTGAACCAAAAATTCTTTTCTCAACTTTGCTGGTGAAAAGATTAATTTAGGTTTTATTCAAAAGAGCTCTTAAACAAGTTCAGACATTAGCTTAAATGTCCTAGTTCATTAGGGCCATTAAGAAACATTACTTAACACAATGTAGTAATAAATGTAAGCAATTTCAGTGTGTCAGTGATGTTCCTCAGGACAAAAAGTCTTTAAAAGATTGTCCATAGCTGAGCAGAAATACCCATACTTTTCAGGTCATAGAAAAAAAGTCTTTAACGTCCACAGAAAATTGTACTGGAATGAGACATATAAGAAGTATGTCTTCTATTACATAAACTGCTTAATTTAAGAACTAATTTATTACTTAATGTTTATCAAAGACTTGTGACATGCAGACCCAACTTTTGGCTAGACCGCTATCCAGATTCTTTATTTTCCTAACAAAACTACGAGGGAAGTTATTGATACCAGCACTATAAAATGGTTAAAAGCTGGCTGTGCAGAGCCCAGTGACTCCGGCAGCTCTCGCAGATGAGAACGTCAGGTCAGCTCCTTCACGGGTCCTGCACACAGGTTTGCTCTGTCCTTACCTTCTGCACGAGGCGGCGGCAGAGCTTGGACAACTGAGGCTAAACTTTCTGAAGTTATCCAAATACACTTTCAGAAATGTGTTTGCACTTAAATTACAAACAGTGATTTCAGTGACAGCGAAAATCAACTCCTTCTCAAGGACAATACTTGTAACGCGTTTAAAGGAAGAACGGGCGAGGAGGAGTTCTTAGATGTGCAGCTTCCAAGTCTGGTTTAACTTTGCATAGTAGTAATACATATTTACAAGTGCCAGATTTTCAATTTATAAATATTTATCATAAGGACATGGTTTTATCTTTAATTAGCCCAACTGTTAAGGACACTTCTAATGTGAGAAATGTAATTCAGTATTTCGTACCAGATGTAGCCTCTACAGCTAGTCTTTTATCTCTGCTTGTAATGAGCGGATACTTAAACCACAAACATTATGTAATATGTGATTAGAAGAGAGTAACTACAGAAGATCTGGGCTCTGAAGTTAAAATAATAATTTTCTGAAGTTGCACACCTTGTTTTGAAGCACCTCTGCAATATCACCATCCTTCAGGTATTGGATTAATTCCTACACGGACCCTTATTAGTTTATTTATTCATGGAAAGACCTGAATTACTAGATTCTCCTTCCTTTCCTGTCTGTCTCTAACCAGCTGAGTTACGGCTCTGTATTTGACACTTCTACAAAAAGTATAAACATGAAAACTGGGATAGTTCCAGCTCTGATCCTGGGTTATCAACAACTGAAATATGATGCCCATTTAAAAAACATCACATTGCCAAACATAGGAACTGCTAAAACATGTCCGTTATACTGAAAATTTTCATAATTACACAACAAACCTTCGGAGTGATTGGAAAGTCTGAATCAGAGAGCGAGAGAGCAGAAGGAAGGAAGGACTGGTGACAGGTCGGGGGAAGAAAAGTAGCAGCCCGGTGCAGTCATTAAAAAGGCAGACTTCCTTCTTTTTCCAGAATAAAGAGTTAAACCAAATTTCTAAATTAAGTGCTGTAAGGGGTTAGCCGCCTTAAACTGCAAGTCACAATTTAAAATAACACACCACAAATGCAAAGTAGATAGGGATTTCATTAGCAATTTTCCGTGTTTTAATCCTCCAAGAATGTATGAAGTGAACTGGGGGAAAACCAATTTCATGTCTAATGATATGCTGAAATTGATTATTCTTTGGCAAAGCAGCAGAGGCAGAAAGTAAGTGGTGTCATTGTGTATCTGTGCATCTCTCCTGCCACGCTAACTGCCTGTTTGCAATCCACTGACAGCACTTTGTGGTCTTACAAAGACTCTTCCTCAATTGAATAATAAAATGGAAACAGAACGCACCCGTTACTAAGGGAACTCTGAGCCAACTTTTGATTCAGCTAATTTTTCTCAGCAGTCTGAGTTACACTGAACTGGCTTGCTCTCTGTATTCATTTAATTAGCAAAATGTTTGATTATCGGATAGTGAATATTACCTGTTGACTCATTTACTTACTGTATAAGATAGCAAACAAAAGATCAGTGTTTTAGCATATTCATGAAGGAACCAAACACATCATTTTGGGAGGGTTTTATGGATGGGAACGAGAGACAAAATGAGAAATGATGGAGGGATGGTACAAATGGGACGTTGGCCCAGAAAGGAGTTTGGGAATTTCTTCTGCAGAGTTATTTTGTATTGCTGGGTTCCCGTTCTCTCTTCCTTTATCATTTGAAGCCTATCCAAATTTTGGCTAAGCCTCTGGATACACATTAGAACAATCAGTCTGAAACATCCCTCTGAGAAACACCATAATGTAACAGTGATAAATATTACAATTTTGCATAATCTCTCTTACCTCTTGGTTAATTATACTCCCAGTACTGCATTACCAAATGTTAGCAATCTGGGTGACAGAGAGCTCTAGAACAGAACTGCTTTGGTTTCGTATTGATGCCTGTTTACTGGGATACACCTGTGTGGTGTGTCCTGTGAACCAGCTCTCCAGTGAGCTAGGGAGGTGGCTTTAGCCATCGGTGTGTATGGGGTCGTTTACCTGCCCACCTTGCCAGTAGAAGTACTTTCCACTATATAAACACTAGCACAAAAATTAAAAAGATATTTTGAGGTATTCTCAGCCTGCCTCCTTATAGGAAACAATCAATCAATCCCACTTGTAAATCTCCAATCTACAAATATGTCAGCCCCCTGGAGAGCCCTCAGATAGCGGTGAATTTTGGCCCCACTGATTGGAAACACTAGGAGATTCAGAGCTTGGAAATTAGGCTGGTTTTGGATGAGTCTAGGCTTAACAATTACGTGGTAAATTAGGAACAGTATAATAAACAATTTGCATTGTACAGTAATCCAGATAAAGTGCTCTCTTACAGATACAGAAAATGACACTGCGATGCAGCGATGACAGGCTGGCAGGAAATTTTGAGGGACTGGCACACCCCAGGAACATGAAGGCAATTAACAGGAAATAATGGGAACAGCATGGAGGAATCGCTGCGAACTGTGTCTGTCTCCAAGGCATTCAAGTGTCAAACAAAGCCAAGGGATTTGGTACAATATACTTGTTTAGCGCATGTTCCACCTGCCCTTCATCCCAGAAATGGCCCTATGAGTAATGGATATGCAAAGGACTGATCTTAGCATCTTAACACTGAATAAATCTGGAGTGCATTACACTTTCGATTTAAAATTGGCTCAGTGTGGGAGAAAACAACCTCCAAGGTAATTCGGAATGCTGCTTCCATGTTTTACGTAAAACATAACTTCTGAATTTTTGTCCTATGGTAATACCTGACCTTCCACTCTTCAGGCAGGAGAAACTCATTCTTGTCTTACATCTGTCAATACTTGCAAAATGCAATCCTTGCTATTTGTTTTAAAGAGTTTTTAACTTCCTAGTTTTTTACATTTCATTTAAACTTTTAAATTTTCTTTGGTACTTTTTACAGGTGACTAGATTCAGTTGATAATTTTGACCTACAGGGAACAATGAGGTTTATAAGCAGTATCTAAAATTCCTCGAGAACAGTACCATTTAAACTAAAAGTATTTTCTCTGGCAGAATAGCCATTAACAATTTTAAACAAAAATTCAAAAATAGGAAAATCTGAGAACATACCTGCTTTATGAAACTTTTCCATTATCTCTTGACGAACTGATTTTTCCAAGTTGAAATAATCATGGTCTTCATCAGGGTTTCTCAGAAACAGAGGGATGTGTTGAAATACTATTATATGCTTGCATTTATGTTTTTCAGCGACAGCCAGTTGCTCATTGAGCCACACATCCTGGGCTTGCTTTAACTCGGGGCATTTGGAAGAATCAAAGTATAACTGAGAATTCAGCACCAGAAAGAGAACGCCTCCAACCCAAAAGCTGAAGTAGTCATCTCCCCAGTTCTTGCAGTAATTATCTATTGTTTCTCGTGTTGGAGTATTGCCAATATCGTGATTTCCACTGACAAATACCAATGGGATGTCCTGGTCAGTGTTCTTCAGAACATTCTTTAAATCTCGCTCTTGGTCCTTTCTCCATTGAGTTCCTACAGAAAAAACAAACACATGTTAGTGTTTACACCAGCTTTTCCTACCCTCACTGCTAGCTGTTGTTTATGGAACTATGCAGAGTAAGAAAATACTTTACATTATGTGATTGTGATAATATGCAGGGATCTAGAAAATCCATCTTCACTTTAATGTGTCCACTGAACCCTTTCCCTCCCTTATCAAGCACTCAGTCACTTTCAATAACTTGCCTTAAGAAAGGCTCTGGACAGGAGCCAACAAAGAGCACAGCCGTAGGTGGTGGAACGGGCAGGGGTTTCACCAAAAGCTTTAGCAGCTGGTTCTTTTCATCCAGACACTGATGATGAGGTGAAAAAATGCAGCAGCCTTGGATGGTGTAACAACTTTACACAAGGGTAAAAAACAGGTCAGCCTCTGTTTTATATTTTATGGCTGTGCAGAGGAATTAAGGTTTTGTTTTTTTTTTTCATTACAAGAACTACTTTAACAGCAAAAATATAATTAATTAGTATCTTGTGGCGACTTGTTTATATGATGAGTCTGTTTTAATAATAAGCATGGCATTAATTTCAAAGAAAGGTAATTGTGTACTCTGCTAGATATTCCTGCACTTCTGTTTTTGTATTAATATGCAGACTCAGTTACTCTTCTAGTTGTCAGAAATTGGTCCTTATTTAGGAAGATTAATTTACAATCTCTGAAAAAAATTTAGAAAGTATTTTCTTAAAAAAGCAGTTATTTTATTATAATGATGACAGGGTTTTTTAAAGTTTTTTAAAGAGTAACTGTTGATCAGAGGCCATTGATGTGTTTATCATTCATTAATTAAATGGAACATTTATAAATTGTATTTTGTCCTGTAATACATAACATATATCTAATATGGGCCCATTTCACAAACAACAATTGCATTTTTTAACCAAGAAGTTGTAACAAGATTTTTACAGGAACTCGTAAATCAGATTTATAACATACATTTCCATACAGGCCTATGCAAATCAGTCGTCATGTATTTTTAAAATGTGTTCTATTTTTGTAACTACACATACATATAGTACATACAAATGTATTAGAAGGGCTTCTGTAATGTAGCTGAGATAAATAAAAGATCTTTTTCTCCGTGTTTCTTCAAAATACTTGTGATCAATACGTTGACAAACACTGACCCTTAGCAACTATTACTAGCAAAGCTGTCAGTTCCCTTTCCATACCCCATAGATACAGGCCTAAGTACCACCTTATTCCTGGTACTAGAATTCTACTGCTTTAGAAAAACACAGGGGAAAAAACATATTCGTATTATGCCCAAATTATGTCTAAATGCAAAGACGGAGAGATTTGAGATGTGACGCATTGAGTCAAAATCCACAACTCTCTTGCATTGAACTGCTGTACAGGGTACAAAGTTATTGTAGCAAAATCTTTGAGTAACTTGAGAAATACAGGGCATGCGGTACCCAGGGTGCTCTAGGAAGTAGTGGGCAGTTTGGGGGGTACCAGGACTGCGCTCAGTTTAGGCCGTCCTTCCAGTTATGGAAAATATCCTTATTAACACTAGAAAGAACAGGGCAAATGACATGTCATGCTACTTGGAGGAGCTGGATTCTAAAATATAAAGCCAAAAATGTAAATGAACCTGTCATACCGTTGCCCATGGGGTAGGGAATCTAGCTGAGAAAGCTGCTTCTGCCACTCCCCACCTTCCTGTGCAAAGAGTTGGAAACTTCAAGCTATAAATATGAAAATGTACCAGGGAGAGGAGGGGGATGGCTCTGTTAAGATACATGTAAACACATTACACCATGTTAATCTCCATGCTATCACTTTGGGAAATTTAGCTAACAGTTTCAGAGTATAAAGACATTTATGCATAAGTTACAGAAATAATTTGTAGAATTATGTATACCTCTTCCCAGTGGTGAAATTCAAGCTCTAGAGACCAACACTTAGATTAGATTTGTCGACAGCAGGGCACTGGTTCCCTCATTTAATGCAATATTATTTCTATAGCAACAGAGAGACATATTCAGTGTTTTATTGCAGAAAACAGATTGCTCAAAATGGAAAACAAGGTCTCTGCCCAATGAGTCTAGGGAATTGTACTAAGTAAAGATTATTTTAGGACAGTTGTATCTTGCCTTGACCTTTTCCTGGTAGAAGGTCAAAGCAACTTCAAAAGAAGAGAAGCCGGTGGAGATGAAGCTGGGAAGAGGCAGGGTAGTGTCTGTACCCGCGTGCGGTGCTGGAGAGGAAGGTTCACACCAACCCTCTGGTGCACCACAGCAGCACACACCTTCTGTGCTACAGTGAGCCACCACCGTGCAGTGCCCCCCGAGGGCACCTCCCTCTGAATTTACAACTGAAGTACTAGGTTAAGAAGATAAAGGAGAGGAGATAGATAAAGAAAAGAAGGAAACCATTAGAAAACTGTAAATAGCCCCTTTAAATCTCTACCAGGCACAGAGCTAGCTATGATACTTAATTAGTCCAACTACAAAGAACATTTTTACTTGATGACACGTATTACTTTAGCTTAGAGAGAGGTTTGTTGAAGACTAATAAGAAAAAAATACAATGCCAAGAGGCAATGTAAAAAAATAATTTGGGAAGTGTCAGGGTAGATGTAACTGAAATTAATTTCTGTGGTGTTTATCCTGGCATCATGTGCAGTGACATTTTTAAATCCCAGGCTACAATAGTCTGTCTTTATGTTAGGTTCTGTAAATACAGTCTTGCCCTGAGATAAATGACTTCCCAAATTAATAGCCCATAAAGGGCAGTTTGGCTTTTATGAAAAACATGGAAGTGAGAACTGTTACTAGTGCTGTTGCCTACAATTTTCCGCAGTTTCGCAGTCTATCATTTCTGAAAGCTGAGCGATGTGAACAGGAGCATAAAGGCGCGATGGCAACGTCTCTGTTGCCGTACATCTTTCTGTTCTTTAGGAAAATAGTGACACAACACACACTTCCAATATTCTTTCCTGCGTTGCTTAAAGGAGTCAAGACAACCTGCCTTCACTCACTGAAAAAGCAGATTTCAAGAAGGAGTTTTCTCAGCATTTTTGCTGAAGCTGGCTTCAGTCAGCAAAAGTAGAATTCGCAGATTATTCTACCAAAGAAATAATCCTTTAGCTACTAATCTACAGTTAGAGTTAATTCTGGTATTCCACAAAATACAGCACCTCTATAACAAAATGTTGGGTTTGGGTTTTTTAATGCACTAGCTATGGAAACAACTTGAAGCACTATTTACCCCCGAACCAAATTTCCGTAATGAATGCTGATTGCAATTTTTGCATCTGAGGCAACGCTTCACTCACTGAAGGTTATAATGGTATCATTAGGCGGTACCCCCAGGAGTTTCTGTGTCTGTGTCTGTGTAAGAAGAACTCCAAGTACCCCCTTCACCCCAGAGAAGAGAAGCCTCCAGCCTCTGCGAGGGGCCCTGGGTGTGGAGGGAAGGGCGAGGGTGTTGCCCTGGATCTACAATTCATGTCATTTCCCAAGGGATGGAAGTTCTAGTGAGGTATTTAACGGTCAAAGCTATCGATCATAAATTCACAGAGAAAAAGACAGTCAGAGGTCAATTACTCAATGTTACCTGATGACGCTGCATTTCAGAGAACTTTCTGCTCTCCAGAGATCACTGGGGAATCACTGTGAGGGATGTGGCTGGCACAAGCTGACTCTGCCACAGGGCAGAACCGCTGCAGCTCCACCTGTGAGACTGATGCTGCTGCTGTTTCTGAACCTGCATTTGGAGGTGGGTTTTCTCTGGAGCCAGACCAGCACCTCTTGTTTACCTGCTCTGCAAATCCTGACCCAGACAGTACTGTGTCATGCTTTGCTACGGGATGTAAAAAAATCTGTGGACCTAACATCTGACTTTAAAAGTTTGGCAAGGGGGCCCCTGAGCCAGAGAACAAACAGATTTACATCCCCACTGATGCTTTGCACTCGGTTACAGTGGTCTCTGTCTCTGCAACATCTTTCCTTGGCTTGAGCTGAGGACCAGCACAGGCACTTTGAGGATGAAGCTACCCAAGATGCCTTCAGCCAACTTAACAACATGTAAAAATATAGCACAATCATTTCCTGGATTTCTAAATTACTTCGTCTTAGTATTTCAATAGATCTTAAAGTGTCCCAAGCCTTAGAGGAGTTACAAACGCATCCTTTTTAAGGGAAAGCACAAATTTTCAGTTGGAAAAAGAAGAAAGTTAAAAAGAAAGTTGTTTACTATGAGCTTTTATGTGAGCAACACTCTTGAAAAGACCTGATATGACAACTGCAATCTGCCTAACATTTACCCCAAGAGAATGACTATCAAAGAACAGTTAAGAGCTAAATTGTAAATTAAAACACTGTACAAAATATCAAATAGAAATAGTAACTAAATCTCATAAAAGCAAAATAAAAATGTCAAAATATCACTGGTAAAAATGGAATATATAAAAACATTGGGCCCATTCCTTCTGTAATTTATTATGGTATCAGGAAAATTACTCTGACATCAAAAGACAAGTAACTCTTGTTGGAAGCAACCAATGACTGTTATAAACAAATAAAAGACAAATTTGTGTGTTTTACTGGGCCTTACAGTGCATCATAATTGCTTTAACCAAAAAGTCTAATTATTTTGGACACTTCACTGTTTACATGTTACCATCCCACAAAAGAAGCGATTCTCTCATTGTCTGTGAATAGTTATCAAAAAAACACCTTGCTCTCTACTTCACATTCATTTTTCCTAGAATATGACAAAAATGTGATAATACAGAGGCACTGGCATAGAAAGGAAAGATCTATCTAGCCACCCCGTTCAGTCTTACTGGTGCTCTTGTTAGTCTGCCCTCTTCATTGTTTCTTGTTTTAAATTTAAAGTTTCCCCTCTAGCATCTGTCATAATGAAATCATGCAATACACTCTGTCATTCCAAATTATTACATGCAAGAATAAGCTGATCAATTTTAATAAATCCAGTATGGTCATGTTCTGAAATAGGTTTTTCTGGC